TCCAATCCATACTTACTTAACTTGCTGGCAAGAATACTTAGGTTGGTCAGGCATGATTTGCCCTTGGTGAAACCATGTTGACTATTCCTGATCATTTTTCTCTCTTCCAAGTGCTTCAAAATGGATTCCTTGAGGATCCCCTCTATGATATTTCCAGGGAGCCCTCCTCCCTGAGACATGCGGTACTCCCGGATGGCCTTGTTAGGCACCAGTTCCAAAGTTCAGTGAGGGGTCCCTAGCCCCACTTCTGGAGCTCCCTAGCTCCCTGCCAGAGCCAGCCTTGCTCCCTGCAGCACTCACTGGCAGCTGCTTCCTCGGCCCAACTGCAGCTTCCCAGACTCCATCCCACTTGACATGCCCAGCCCAGCCTCACTGGAGCATCCACAGCCCTAGGCCTGGCCTGACCTTCTTTCCTGACACATGACCAAAATCAATTTGCCACCTGGGTAAAAGAAGGGGCCAGCCTGTAACAATATGTTTTTTCTGTAGCCATGTTGGAAGGCCTGTGCTAGGCTTGAACCAAAGCCTTCTTCTGCAGCTAGACTGAAGAGCAGCAGCTATTAGCTATAAGACCTGGAGTCATATACTCACATTCCATCTAAATTGTATTAAAAAAGTGTCACACCAAGCTGTGAGGAGGGGACTTTGTCCTGATAGCTCCTCCACTGTCACTAGATAAAGAAACAGATCTCAAGATGGGTAAAGAAAACTTAAGTAACACCATTCTGTCTGGAAAGAAACTGCTTATCAATAGAGAATGTTGTGGCATCCTCATTCTATGATCATTGTCATTACACTTTCCTATTGTTTGATTGTGTGATCTCTGTCTGGTTTGTAACTGTTTCTGTCTGCTGTATAATTAATTTTGCTAGGTGCAAATCAATTAAGGTGGTGGGGTATAATTGGTTAGGTAATTTTGTTATGATTGGTTAGTAAAATTATACTAAAATAATTGGTTAAGGTATAGCTAAGCAAGACTCAGGTTTCATTATATAAACTGGGGTCTAAGAAGGATACCAGGAGGAAGAAGATCAGAAGTAACAGAAGCAGAAGGAAAGAAGAAAAGGCTGGAAGAAGACCAGGAACACCAAGAGAAGGGGGAAGACCTGGAAAAGGACTCCCCTTCTGAGACACAGCCTAAGACCAGAGATACTGATATTGTCTGACCAACAGGGGAAGTCAGCCTGTACCAGGATTGGTGCGCATAACACTGTGCCTAGAATGTGTATTTTGCTTGTTTGAGAATTGTCAATAAATAGAGGATAAGGATATTACTGTGTGAGGCTCTTTCAGTGGCTAAAGATTCTGCAAAACCCGCAGGAAGATGCGCCCTGTGTCCTAGGAATTGGGTAAGCGGTGAGTGTGTAAATTAACAGGGTTGCACCTTGAGCCCTAGGAACTGGGTAAAGGTGTGTTTACCTGGCTACAGTGTGGAAGGGATAGAGAAATGTGTGTGGGTAACAAGCCAGCCTGTGCCAGCTACTCAAACTGCCCCCCTCCTCACTTCACAACCATTCAGAGGGTGCCAGAGAGCAGCCTGGGCACTGAGGTTAGTCCACAAGTCTTCGCTGCACTCTTGGGGCCTCATACACCTCCTGCTTATGCCATGGTGAATCTCGCTCTACTGAGGCCAGTGGAGAGATACCAGTAAGAGCAGCCTGGGCACTGAGGTTAGTCCGCAAGGATACCAGTTTGAAACTAGAGTGAGAACAGATTCAAGTGAAGGGGCGATAAAATCTGAGGTTTACAGTTAAATGTCTCGAAACGTCATGGATTTCCTCATGGAAACCAGGGCAAACGAATCCATTGCTCTCTTCCTGTTCAGACAGCCTGGTTGTCCTTCCAACAGAGCCAACTACAACTCTCCCCTTGGGGTGCTCCCACTCATGCCTCAATCTCTCCCTGAAGGAGGTGGTCAGGCATCTTAAGGGCAAGGATACCTGGAAGAAAAAGAGGTGAGGCACACAACAGTTCTGTGCAGGAGTCACATCCTGTGGGTGTTTGCAAAGACTCTTGCAGCCCCAGGAAGCACAGGAAATGCAGGTTCCCCTTCCTCATGCAGCAGCAAACCCAGATGCTAAATCAGAGCCTCCCTTCCAAAGCGCAGTAAATCAGTGGACATATTGACAGAGTGCAGTAGAAGCAGATGTACCTCCCCACCCCCCAACACCCCTAACCCATGACTGTTCAAACAACTGACAGACCAGCCCCTCCAGCCAGTTGAACGCTCTCTAAGGACACGGGTGCTGCTTTCCTGGAAAAGAAACTGGATCCAGACTCAGTGTTCACATCTCCCCTTCCCTATCACACTTGCTACGATCACAGGCCTTTCCCAGAAGCAACTTCCTCGGGAACTGCTCACAGGGGAAGCTCCATAAAATTCAATTGTCTTTAAACACATTTAGCTCCCAGTAGCTATTTCTCGTCATGCTCTGCCGGCTGAAATTTCAGCCTGGGGAGAGCAGTCAGTTGATACCTTTGAAGGCTCTTTGCTGTCTTCCCCAGCTGAAGCTGTCTGCCTGGGATAGGTACTTCAGATTAATTACACCCAACAAAAACAACAGTTAAACACTTGCAGCAGCCTTAGCAAAAATGCTCTCGCTTTCTCACCAGGCAGTTTCTACACAAATTATACCACCCGTGGTCTCTCTCACCTGGGTCTTGTGGAATCAGTGGTCTGGTCTCATTTGGGAGGCAGGTCAAGGGAGTCAAGCAGATACTTACATTGTCCCCAAAGGTAGCAATGATGCACAGGAGCGGGTGGGAATGCAGCACCTGGCAGGCTGCCACCATGCAGACCAGGTTTGGCTGGCTTGTATGACTTTATGAGGAGTGGGGGGGCCAATGTTTCCTCTACCCTTTTCCATCTATTTGTGCCTTTTTCCATCCATGTGCAGAATAAATGTTTACGTGCACCAAGGTATGTGCAAGCGTGCACCACCAATAGAAACACAAGCCTAGCTGTGGGCACTCTGCTAATCAGCTGGGAAGCATTTGAGTCTTTCCCGAGCAGCTGCACAAGTGCACAGCTGACAGGGAATACTGGTGGGTGCCATCAAGGACTCAGGAGTGGCAGTAAGACAGAACCCCAACATGGAGCAGGGAAGAAACACCCCAAATATGAGAGACCCTGACGTTCTGGTGGGGTGAGTCCTCCACCAAATGCCAGGAACCCTTTTCTGAAGGAAGGGAGACAGTTTTTAAAACCTGGGGCTTCCCTATATGGCAGACACATTACGCAACTGAGATGACCCCATTTAGCAAATACAGTAAATTCTGATGTAAACTAGCCAGTTTTCAAGATGATCGCTCAGAACGACACTTGGCGCTTGGGCTGCGCTGGTCACCCAATAAGTTCAAGAGAATTCACAAACATCAGTTGTCAGTCTCACAAGCCAGGAAGGCCTAGATCATTATCCTCATTTTACAGATGGGGAAACTGAGGCACGGTGCGATGAAGTCACTTGAGGTCACAAAACAAGTAAGCCATGCCCAGGAGTAGAAACAACGACTCTAGGCTTTCAATCCCTGGCTCTGGCTAGTAAACCATATTCCCCATGTGCTGGATTGCATTTCACCCGAGACAGGCGCTGCCATGAAAATCACCTCTCATCCCATTTTATTAATTGGCAAATCTAAACCCCAAAAAATGAAGACACAGAAATGACTCATGGGTCCCATCTAGCTCAATCTCTCAAAATGGTCATGACCTGGCACAAAATTGACTCACCCATCCTTGACCAGGAGGAAAGCCTGGGTATTTCATTTGCCCTTCCAACACCTCTCCTCCCCATTCACCCTTGCTGAGTAGAATTTTTAATAGCTGATCTAGGGGCATAATTCAGCCAACTACTTTAAAAAATGCTTTGTTTCAAGTACAGCCACTCTCCGAGTTACGAACAAGTTATGGACTAACACTTGGTCCGTAACTCGAACTGTTCGTAACTCGAACCCCATTGAGTTATACTCAACCGCGCTGTTCGTAAGCGCGGGTCGTATTCGTAACTCGGAGACCACCTTTACGACTGCTCCATGGGAGCTTTGGTCGTAAGTGTGAACGGTCGTAACTCGACGGTTCGCAACTTGGGGAGCAGCTGTATGTGCATTCCTATTTAGCAAAACACTTAAGCATGCGCTTAAGTCCCACTAGAGTTAGAAAGATTTATACACACATTCAAAGTTAAGCCTGTGGTATTAAAGTGCTCTCTATCAAGGCCACTGTTCTGTCTCTCAATGGCCAGTGCGGGATTGTTCCCTGCACAGCACAGACCAGTCTTTTATGTAAAGTGCCAATAAATGGAGTTTCCACCCACTTTCTCTTGGTAGAGTCAATATGATAAGAAACAAACACGACAGCTGTTTTACAATTATTTATTATCTGCGAAATGCCCAGCGCTGTACAAGACACAATCGTTGGGCTGGCAAAGAGAAAAAGTGCTGTAGTACTTCTCCCCAAAATGTTTTGCCTCCAAGAAGCCAGTTAAACACATCTCCAAAGGGATAATGGGTTCTCTGAAGACCCACCATCCAAAAAGAGCTCATTTTTCTATCTCTACTGCTTAGTTCAGTTTCCATCCAAATGAGATTTTAAAAAGTGGCCAAAATACTGTGATGGCTGGCCCATGATTGCTGCAGTTTAACCACCTGCAAGAAACGTTTTTTTTGCCTCCAAGAAGCCAGTTAAACACATCTCCAAAGGGATAATGGGTTCTCTGAAGACCCACCATCCAAAAAGAGCTCATTTTTCTATCTCTACTGCTTAGTTCAGTTTCCATCCAAATGAGATTTTAAAAAGTGGCCAAAATACTGTGATGGCTGGCCCATGATTGCTGCAGTTTAACCACCTGCAAGAAACGTTTTTTTTGCG